TCTAGTGCCGTGGGTATCTCCTACCCCATGATGGAGCGCCTTGGTCAGTCTGGCTGCCTTTCCCAGAGTCTTTCCCTCCACCTGACTCCCGAGCCCAAGTTGGCAGGGCCTGGTTAGGTAGCGTCAGTCTCAGGTTCAGGTACACGAGCCTCACTGCACCCCAGAACTCAGCTCACATCATGGAACTCAGGCTGCTGACCCTGCCTCAGGGTCCTGTGCCCTGTGCCCTGGAGCTGGCCTCCTGCAATGTACCTTCAGTGCCCGCTCTGTGGTTGCCTTTCATTTCTCAGAACTCAACTCAAATGTCTCCTCCACCGTGAAGCTGTCTCTGGGTGGAGGAGTCAGCTTTTCCTCTCCTCTCCTCCCCGTGTTCGTCCCTCTCATTTCACTTTTCCTACATAGCAGTTTCTGTCTCTCCTTCCCTCCCCCATGTCCACGCTAGTTCCAGATGCATGGCTGGTTCAGGTTAGCGAACTGGACAATATTGTCCTGGGAGGCCTCACAGCCTAGCCCGCCCTCCCTCCTCCAATCTGCCTCACAAGGTCCCCTAGGTGGGACATTTAAGAACACAGGCTTTCAAGCCAGACCTTTGTCCAACTCCTGTTTTCCCACTTGCCTTGGTTTCAGCTGCAAAGCGAACACAGCAGTGCCTTCTTATAGGGCTGGTGTTAGGTTTAAATGAAATATCGAATATAGAGCTCTTCGCCTGGGGCCCAGCACAGACGCATCCACGAGTAGTAGTGATTGTGAATCATTACGGTGGAGCCTCCCCCCCACAGGCTTTATCTTTTTGCTCCTCCTTTTCCTCACACACTCAGCATGTCAACTGAGTTTATGGTCACCATCCAGAGCTCTCCGCACATAATGTGATGAGGACAGAGGTCAGCTGTGAATTACAGACGGAGGACAGAAGCGGTGACTGGACTGAGGCCCTGAGTCACTTTGTGCACACAGTTGGCTCCCAGGGCAGACAGGGTGGAGGGGCTGTAATCCTGGAATCGGGGCAACAGGTGCGCCCTAGGGAGAGAGGTGACAGAGATCCCATATCATCACCCCAGTAACTCCACCGTGGTGACAGCCAGCCCATGGAGAGGCGAGAGAGAAACCAGAGTGCTCACAGACGTGCAGCCAGTCTCCAATCCAGCCCTGTCAGCACACAGGGAGGGTTGTGCGGGCATGCATGGGGCACACTTTTTGGCACAAGGGACCTGGTTGCTAAGCAACAATAGCTGGCCTCCCCTCCTCCCGGTAACCTTTTTCTGTTTCTGAGCTTCTAGTTAGCAGATGGGGGGTAGGGGTGGGGGTGGCTGGGGCTGCCCAGCCCAGCCCTTGGCCCCTTTCCTGCAACAAGGGGCCTATTCACGGGTCCTGAGCAGGGTTTATTGTCTCTCTGGCGCGTGTCTGTGTGTGTGTGGAGAGGGGATGAAGGGAGGAGCCTGTGTGAACCAGGGAGACCTCGTACTCCAACAAGCGGGAAAGGCTAGCCAGTCAATGCCGGCCCAAGAACGGGAGCAGAACGCTGCCTCACAGACCCTGAGGCTTTACGTCAGCGCCACTGAGCCGAATGGTAAGGCTGAGACTCTGCTCTCCCTTCTCTGGCCCGTCTCTCTCTGCTGTCCTTGGGAATCCTTGGAAATCCAGCCTCCCTGGGCGGTTCTGGTGCAGGGGCTGGCTCCTAGCAGGGCTCAGCGGGGGCCCCCCCTCTGCCTTTGATTCTCTTCCTCTGTCCTCTTGGCCTAGCCAAGTGTTTCATGCATGGGCAGAGCTTTGCGCATCATTATTGCACTGAACGGCCTCTCAAAAAGAGGACCAAGGGTCAGGTACCATGAAAGGCTATTTTCCCAGGCTACTGCATGAGCTCAGGGAGCTGGGTTTTGGGGTGCGGCAATCCCTAAGGTAAGGCCAGTGTGTTCAGAGGCTGAGCTTAAATCCAAGTCCCTCAATCCTGAGACAGGAGGAGAGACTGGGCATATCCCAGAATTGTGCCGAGACCAGGCCCTGCCTCTCTGCTCAGAGGGACATGGACGCAAGGGAAGCCACATCCCCAGAGAAGAAACCTAAACCTCACACCCCCTTGTCACCAGCTGGTCTTCTCATGTATATTTCTTATTAATATTTGGGGCCAGCAGGTGGTATAGTGGTTAAGGTGCTGGATTCCCACATGGTCAACCGTGGTTTGAGTCCCAGACCTGACAGCTTAAAAATCACACCAGGTGCATGTGTGCGCGTGCCCAAGATCCCGAGAAGAGAATGGAGAAGGGTGCAGTATGGCCATCTCCCTGGAAAGTGAATTCTCACTTTCCCTCTCTCTGTCTCTGTCTCTCTCCACTGAGTGCACACACCTATGGAAAAAACATTAAAGAAATTTTTTTTTGCTGTACTTTGCATTGTGCTGATAATTTATAAAGCTATTTTACTCACATTATCTTATTTAGCCGGCCTTAGTCCTTTCTCCCTCCATCCCGCCTTCCTTCTTTCCTTTCCTCATCCAGTGTACTTTGACTCAATGCCCGCTTTGTGCTAGGCTCTGAACTAGGCCCTGGGATGCATAGACCTGTGAGGAAGGAGATAGAGAAGTGAATGAGCACAGTACAGAGCCACAGCAGGTCTGCAGGCATCAGAGGATGTTCCCTAGAGAGGTGCCCGTTGTGCTGGGTCTTTTTTTTTTTTTTTTTTTTGAGAGGTTTTTGCTATAGGGCACGTGTGCTTGCCAGACAGACAGAGAGAGACATAGAGACAGAAAGCGAGAACTCACCCCCCAGGGGCGATGGTCACTCTGCAATCCCTTCTCCTCCATTCTCCTCTCAGGATCTTGGGCACGCACACACACGCGCCCAGCGTGAGTTTTAAGCTACCGGGTCCGGGACGCAAACCGTGGTAGAGTGGGAGTCCAGCGACATAGCCATTACGCTAACTGCTGGTCCCTGTGCTGGGTCTTGAAGGGTCAGTAGGAGTCAGTTACGTGGGCAAGGGGGCAGCAGGTGCAAAGGCTCCATGCTGTCAGAGTGCTGTAAGAGGAATGGCAGGGATGTCACTGTGACCCGCATCCCACTGTGGAGGGAGTTGGTGCTGACGGTGAGGGGAGAGGCGAGGAGGATGAACTCCCAGAGAGCCTGGTCAGCCTTGGCACAGAGCTCTAGATTGATCCTGAAGGCCACAGAGATTCCCCTCACTACTTTAAAGTTGGGGAACTTTGGAACCAGCAGATGGTGTAATGGTATGTTGCTGGACTTTTCCATGGTCAATTGTGGTTCAAGCCCTGGACCCAGCAGCTTCAAACTCGCACTGGGCGCATATACGTGCCTGCCCAACATTGTGAGAAAAGAATGGAGAAGAGAATTGCGGCATGGCCATCCCCCCAGGAGTTGATTTCTTACTTTCTGTTTCTCTGTCTCTTCAGTGAACACACACAATTTAGAGCAAAAATCTCTCTCTTAAAAAAATGGGGTGCACGTGTTTATATTTACATTTTTGGATGGTTTTTCTGGTTCTACAGCATGGAAAATAGTGGAGGGAGACACTACAGGAAGGAAAACACTCATTGAGAAGCTGAAGTCTCCACTTTTTTAAAAAAAAGAGTTATTTATTAAATTAATTAATTATTATTATTCAATTTTCTGTAGGCCATGCATATTTAACAGAGAGAGAGAGAGAGAGGGAAAGTGAGAAAGCAAGCTGCCAGGTCTGGGACCTGAACCACAGTCAGTCATGTGAGAGTCCAGCATCTTAGCCCCTGTGCCACCTGCTGGCCTCCATCACTCTTGTTTGATGAGTGAGAAAATGTCAGTTTGGGGAGATGACCTGCGGTGTCTAAGCTCACATGGTAGGCTGTAGACCTAGCTTTGAGCTGTCCCGTGGTTTTTCTAAGAGCCTATTTTTCATTACTCTTCTTCATGGTTCATGAATTACATCCCTACAGATGACTTACTGTTATTCTGTTCTCTGCTTTCTTTCTTTTTAAAATTTTCATTATTAAAATTTTTGCTATAGGGCCTGTACACTCACCAGAGAGCAAAACTGAGAAATCACGCCTGGGGGTGTGTGTGGCCACACTGTAATCCCTTCTCTTCCATTCTCCTCTTGGAATTTTGGGCATGTATGTACATGTATCAGGTGTGTTTTTCAAGTTGCTGGGTCTGGGACTCAAACTACAAAGTTGTCTAAATGGGACCGGGTGCCTTAACCACCATACCATCAACTAGCTCTGTTCTGTGCTTTCTTCCCCATATGCCTTTGCTTACTCAGTCCTCTTTGCCTTTGCCTGAACCACCCAATGCTCATGTATATAATTTCAAACCCTAATCATCTATGAGGGCCTGTCTCAGTGGCTACCTCCTCTAGGAAGTCCTCCTTAATCTCTTCAATGAGAAGAAAGATGATAGTCTTCTGAAGGTCAGTGATTAATTAGCTGAACTTTTCTAGTCATTTAACATAGTCTGTTTATTTATCTTCATGACTAGAACATTCTTTGAAGCAGTTGAGGGAGGCATGATGATTTATCCTGAACTCCCTACTACGCTCCCCCGTAGTGGCCTCTGTGCTTGGACTAAATAGCATTTACAAGATGAATGAATGGGTGGGTGGGTGGATGAATACAGAAGGGCACGTCTTCCTCTGATACACGGGGGAATGGAGGGGCTGGGATCTGGACGCTCTTTGGAGGGATGTTGAGGCACTTCGGCAGGTACCATAGTGCTCGTGGGAGGCTCGATGAGGGAGTGGTTACCAGTGTGGATTTGGAGTGGGCCTAATCTGGATTCAAGACCTTGGCTCTGACACGGGCTGAGAGTGAGGTAGGTGTGATTCTGGGCTCTGGGAGCACAGAGAGGGCCTGGAGCGGTGCCTGTGGGGACACACAGGGAGACCCTGAGATGAATACAGGCTTGCAAGTGGCAGTGTGGCAGGGCCCGGGTTAGGGAGGGGGACTTGGGTGGGCTAGAACTTCTCCCGAACTCTTTCCTGTGGGATCCTGATGTCTGACAATGTGTCCCCAGAGCCTGATGCTGGATGGCCAAGCACCTATGGAGGCTCAGCATGCAGAAGAGGGCCCGGGATCGAAGATCTTCAGAGCAGAGCTGGGAGACCTGCAGCGACCTAGTAGGCCGGAACGGGCAACGAGGAATGGCAGGGCAGGGGCAGTGAAGGCCGTCTTCTTACACCCCCAGGCCTTTTTGGGTTAGCCCCAAGTGGTGAGGGGAGAGGCCATGTCCTGCTTTGTCCCCAAGCAGGCTTTTGTCCCTATTTCCCATTGTGAGGTGGAGAAGGCTCTGAGTGCTGCAGTGACCAGGGCACCCACCCTGGGCCAATGGGCAAGGGAAGCCTCCTCTGGGACCTCAGTGGGTGCTGGGCCAAGTGGGTGTCTCAATGTGGAGTGAGGCTGGTCTGCAGGAGCAGAGCCTGGACGGCCCTCTCTGTTCCCCTCAGTCTTACAGGCCGGGCGTTGGTGTTCTGTGCGACGCTGCAGTGCAGTGCTGGGAGTCTTGGGGCTGCTGGCTGGTGTGGGTGTCGGCTCGTGGCTCCTAGGTCAGTGCTGGGATGCTCCTGTGGTCTGGGAGGGACAAAGAATAGGATCTGGGGGAGGCTGAAGAGAAGCCAGTGCTGAGCAGGTGCTAAGACAGATGGGTCAGCGTCTCCTTCCTCAACACTCTGTGTGGATTGGGGGAGGAGGGGGACACTGCAGCAGAAGGAACTTGGGTCCACTGGAAGAGCATGGGGATGTATCATGAGAAATGTAGGGCCCTTGAATGGATGATCTAGGGGGCCCTAAGTCAAGCTTTTTCTAGAAATCTATCCTAGTGAGAGAGAGAGAAAGAAATAGAAGCAGAGACAGAAAAAGGGAGAGAGACAGAGACAAAGAAAGACAGAGAGAGTGCAAGAGAGCGAGACAGTGCTGGCCACGACTCTCCGTAGCATGTTGGGTGGGGTCTTGTTTGAGGCAGGTGTGTGAGGGGTCCCCAGGTGGCTGTTTTCACCTAGCCCTGGAGTGTCTTGGTCTGTAGCTCGGCCCCTCCTTTGAGAAGCCCTCCCCTTGTCTCCACGCTCTCTCTCTGTCCTCCTCCAAAGTGCTCTATCTGTGGCCAGCTGCCTCTCAGCCCACTCCCGGGACCTTGCCGGATGAGATGACTCTGAGCTGCTCCGGGGCCAGCAGTGAGGAAGCCCTGCTCCCCTCACTTCCCAAAACAGGTGGGCCACCCCAAAACTATGGGACACTATCCCTGCCAGGGTCCCTTCTCATCTTGGGGATCCCCCACTCTAGGCTGGGCAAGAAGATCAAGATGACGGCCACCAGCTCACTGCTCCCCATGCTTCTCCTTCCTCCGGAGTGAGGTTGGTGATGAGGCCTACCTTTACAGAGCTGGTTACTGATTTGGGGTTCTTAGCACTCACTGAGGACAATCCTGATCTCTAGCTGGGCCATGACCAGTAGTGCAGGCTGGAGGAAGGATGGGCACTTGTTGTTTGGGGCAGAGTGAGCCAGGTATATGGGAGGAACCAGTGTGTGGCCAGCAGGGCCACCTAGAGGCCTGGGGATGGCATTCCATGTTGTCCTCTCCCTCAGGTGAGACTAGAGGATAAGAAGTACATGCTGTCCAGAGGCATTAGAATAAGTTCTAGATGTTAATTAGAATAACATGGTAGCCTATTTTTTTTTTAAAAAAAATATTTATTTATTTAACTCCATTTGTTATTATTTTAAAATTTGACTAGAGAGAGAAAGGGAAAGTGAGAAAGCAAGCTGTCAGCTCCAGGACTCAAACCACAGTTGGCCATGTAGGAATCCAGTGCCTTTAATCACCACACAACCTGCCGACCCACCTAATTATTTTTTATTTTTTATTTTTTTTTACATTGCCAGATGATATGTGCTTACCAGAGAGGGACAGAGAGATGAGGGTGGGGAGGGGAAAGCAGTCCCCATTGGGCATGGTTACACTGCAGTTCCCTTCCCCATTTCTCCATCCTGTTGGGATTTGGGGCACACATGCATGCTTGCCCAGCATGTTTTTCAAACCACTGGGATCAGGACTTGATCTGCTTCCAGTCATGTGGCATCCAATTCCCTTAACCGCTATGCTACAGGGCCAGCCGTGGAGTCTATCTTTTGCTAACTATGTGACATTGAGTCATTGCTTCTTTGAGCTTCTATTTTATTCTCTATAAAATGAAAATAAAAATATTTACTTCTTAAACTTGTAAGGACAAAATAAGCTCATGTACAAAAAGAGCTTAGCACAGAGCCCATGTCTGTTAGGGCTGCCATGACAAAAATACCATAGACGGGATGGCTTAACCCACAGACATTCATTTTCCTACAGTTCTGGAGGCTGGAAGTCCAAGACCAAGGCATGCAACTTTGGTCTCTCTTCCTCACTTGTAGGTGGCAGACTTCTTGCTGGGCTCTCGCTGGACATTTACTCTGTTCTTGAGGAGAAAGGGAATCTCTACTGTCCCTTCTTCTTATAATGACACCGGCCCTGATGATTCAGGACCTCATCCTTATGACCCTGTACATGGGGTTATAAATTATCTCCTTGAAGACTCTGTCTTCAAATACAGTCATATTGGAGATTGGGGCTTCAACATATGGATTTGGGAGGACACGATTCAGTCCGTAACATACTGGGAAAAGCAGACACTTGGTGAATGGTAACTATTATTGCCACAAGATTTGAAATCGGAGAGCTGGACTTAAGTTCTGGATCCATCACTTGATGTGGCGATCTCAGTCTCTCACCTCTTTGTGTAGTGTTCCCTCACAGAATGGAGAAGATGGTGGTTTTGATGGCACAGGCTGCTGTGACAAGTGATAGAGCATGCTTAAAGCATTGGGTGAAAGCACACATCCGAAATGGCCCACCGGTAGAGGTTATATTGTTCTTAGGCCTGACTGACACTCCAGGGAACTAGGAGCTGCACACCGGGTGACTCAGATGCCGTCATTAAGGCCCTCTCAGGTCCCACAGAGTCCCAGGTCCAGCCCCCACCCCCGCCATCCGGACCTGCCTTCGTCCTCCCTGACCCCTGCCGCAGGTGGGGTGTGGTTTCCATGCTGTGGTTTCAGTGTCTTTCAGGACCAGCAGCGAGGGCTTCTTGCTGGAAGTACAGGTGAAGGCCCGGCCAGACTGGCTCCTGGTCTGCCATGAGGGCTGGAGCCTGGCCCTGGGGGTGCGCATCTGCCGGAGTCTGGGGCATCTCAGGTAACGGGAGCTGCACGTGGACCTGGGTAGGGAGGAAGGCTGGTGGCCGGGGGACGGGGAGTTGGAGCCCGCTATTGCCTGTCACTGTCGAGGTGCTAATGAAATGACAAGAGGTCATTTTTTTTTCTTTAGTTTGCCAGAAGGAACAAGTACTCACCAAAGAGAGACTGAGAGTCTGAGAGAGAGAGGGAGAAAGAGAAAGCACCCCTTGAATGGCCATAGTCATATTGTAGTCCCCTCCTCTCCATTTCTCCATCCTGTTGGGATTTTGGGCAGACAGGCACATGTGCCTGGAGTGTTTATCCAGCTGCCGTGGCTGGGATTTGAACCACAGACGGCCATGTAACCCTGAGGCAACAGGACCAGAGGTCATTTTGGCCATCTTCTGGCCTCTGGGCGTGACAGTGTCCCAGCCTGTCTCCCTGTTTTGAGAATTGCTGCTTTTTATGTTTTGCTGTTGTTGTGCTCACCTGAGAAAGACAGAGAGAGAGAGAGAGAGAGAGAGAGAGAAGGCATCTGTCAGGGAGGATAGCCATGCCACAGTCCCTTCTCCTCCAGTCTCTTCGGATTTTGAGAATGCAAGCCCATGCACCTGGCATGATTTTCAAGCCACCAGGTCCAGGACTTGAACTATGCAGTTGACCAAGTGGGATCCAGCTGCCTTAACCTCCATGCCACCTGCTGGACCCAAGCATTCCTGGCTTTTAACAAATGTAAATCCCAGAAGTCATCGTTGCCGTCTTGCTCAGCCCCTGTACTGGTATAGTGCCTAGTACAGATTCCAGGTATGACTTCTCCTGTCCTCTTCCCCTCTTCTGCCAAGACTCACTTACCACAAGGCCGTGAACCTGTCCGACATCAAGCTCAACAGCTCCCAGGGGTTTGCTCAGCTCTTTCCTAGACTGGGAGGCTCCCAGGAGGAGGTGTGGCAGCCCAGGTAAGGCTTCAGTGGGGGGAGAGGTGAGTGGGGTCCCTTACTTCCTGGAGTCCGTCTCGAGGCGAGGACATTAGTGTTCCGATATAGAAACATTTCCCAAGCAGGAATAAGAGTCGTGCCCTCCCAGCGTCACATGCATCATTGCCCTCCATGAGAAATGCAGGGTTGGTTGTTTCAGTCTCAGGAGTGGAAATGGTGTTCTCACTTCCATTTTACAGGTTGGCCAACTGAGGCTTATGATTTTAAAGGGTCTTATCCAAGGTCACCTAGATAATAGGCAGCTAAGCTAAGACTTTATACCAGGCTCCTGTCTCCCAAGTACGTGTTCTCTGAATCCCAACACACTCTATTGGCTAATTCTGCTGTTTCAGAAAGAGGTGGTTGAGTTGCTCCGGCTAAGAGCTGCTTGGAGCCCGAGAGTCTCCCAGAGAAGAGGTCTCTGGACTGGAGCAGGCCCTCCCCAAGTCCTGGGCACAAGCTGAGATGGTCTTTGCCCTGGCCTGGAGGGGGCTCCTCCCTCACCACTGTAGAGACACCTCCGTGTGCCCATGTTTCCAACCCGAACTGTTCCCTCAGGCCCCTCCCATCAGGCCCTGTGCTGAGGGCCCACCCTTGGGGACATTACTGGAGACGAGGGAGTTGCTCAGTGGGTCCCTGTGCTAGCTATCTGGTGGGCAAGGGGGCATAAGAGTAGGACCAACCCCTCCAGGAGAGCTGGGAGGGCTCCAGGTTTGAGAAACCGGAGATTGAACGGGGCCAGGCACAGGGCCACAGGGGACAAGAGATGAGTAAAGGGAGGGAAGGGGGCTTTGGTCAAAAGGGAGTTGAGGCTTATGTTGAGGGAGAGGATGGCAGAGAAGAGAGTGAGAATATGAACAACAGGGCCCAGACCACAAGCCCGGGGAGGAGCCTGGGGTGCGCAGCCCTGGCTCCCGTTCACTCCTGCATCCACTCGTTCATCCAGAGAACACACTGCAGTCGGGGCCACTTAGTGGGAATGGCCGGGCTCCCTCACCTACAGGCTCTACTTCAGCCTGTGGGCCCCACCCACATCAACCCTCAAGGACCAGAAACTCCTTCTGTGGCCCTTTGGAGACAGAAAGACTGGGTGTGGCTGTCTTGGGATCCGTTTTGAGGGGGCCCTTGACCTATGTGGGGAGACAGGAAGAAAATGGTGGTATTCTTCAGACTATGGCTACAGGACAGCTGTAGGAATAGCTACAACCCCTCCTCACCCCACCCCAGGCCCGGGATGAGCGTGGCCTGAAGGTGGACCCTGCCCGGGTTCTCGCTGGTGCCTGTGTTTTGCAGGAACAGCTGCGCTTCTGGCCAGGTTGTTTCCCTCAAATGCTCGGGTGAGTCAAGTCTTGGACCCTGGGGAGTGGCGGTGGGAGGAAGGAGTCCCCCCCCCCCCACCTTGAGTGTGATAAGGTGAGGTGGAGAGGCTCACCCAGTCTGGCTGGGGGTCCTGGGTCCCCCATCTGTCTGCTGGGCCCATCCTTCAGATACAGTTCTGCCCAGGCAGAGCCTGTTCTAAAGCTGTCACGGGTCCCACTAGTCCCACCAGCCACCAGACTAGCAGATGACATCCTTCTTTCACTACCATCCACTCTGCCTTGACCTGTGACACTCACTCCCCCGTCCCTCCAGAGAGCCACAAAGATGAAATTATTATTAGCTACTGAGTCACTTGTTAGCAACTTTGGAGCCAGGGCGGGTGGTGGATTAGGGGCCCAGTGAGCAGTAGCCTGGGCAGCTCTGGCATCTGGCTTCCCACTCATTCATTCACCTGTCTGTCCTGCACGTCCGTCCACACACCAACATTTCGATGCCCTACTATCAGACAGGCACTTCGCCAGGCACTGGGGCACCTGGGGGGGCAGGTGGGTGTGTAACTGGCGCTTATGCCTTCCTGTCCCCCAGATTCAGGCAGCAGCTGTCCACACTGGCTCTCTGGGGCTGGGTGTTGGGCCATGCTCCCCGAGAGGACCACGCTGACAGCCCCCCTTTCTCTTTCTGTCTCACCCTTCTCCCTTTGCAGCATGTGGGGCCAGGCCGCTGGCCTCCCGGATAGTCGGCGGGCAGGCCGTGGCTCCTGGGCGCTGGCCGTGGCAGGCCAGTGTGATGCTGGGCTTCCGGCACGCCTGCGGGGGCTCCGTGCTGGCGCCGCACTGGGTGGTGACGGCTGCACACTGCATACACAGGCAAGCCTGGGGGCTGCGGGGAGGAGAGGGTCTCGTCTTTTGTGTTTGGCTGTTGGTATGTCCTGCAGAAACTGTCCATGCCCAGAACTGTCTGCCTCCAGGTATCTGCTCCAGGTGGGCACGTACGGTGTTAGTGAAGTTCTCCCCATTCGGGGCCAAGAACGAGTCTGCACAAGCAGCAGTAACAATCCAAAGATTGGTTCTTCATAGGCATTCAGCTGCTAGGTTTTTTTTTTTTTTGGAAAGATTTTTGCTATAGGGCGTGTGCGCTCGCCAGACAGAGACATAGAGACAGAAAGCAAGAAATCACCCCCCAGGGGGGATGGCCACGCCGCAATCCCTTCTCCTCCATTCTCCTCTCGGGATCTTGGGCATGCACGCACATGCGCCCGGCGTGTTTTAAGCCACTGGGTCCGGGACACGAACTGCGGTTGACTACGTGGGAGTCCAGCGACATAGCCATTACGCTAACTGCTGGTTCCCCAGCTGCTAGCTTTTTGAAATGCTTTCACCATCACGGCTCTGCGCACTTCGTAACGTCTATCACCACTCTCATGGAACCATCTCCACGTCGCTGTCTAACGGGCTTCTTCTCATTTAGACTAGAAGCTGTCCCTCCATGGGAGCAAGGACTAGGTCTCACATACCCCAGAATCCCTTTGTAGATTTCCCCACTGCTGTGTCCCAGGGCCTAGGAAAGTCTCTGGAGTGGAGTAGGTGCTTAGCACACTTGAGCTGGAGGAGTGAATGAGTGGATGATGAGCTCTTGGTGGCAGGCGGGGCAACGAGGAAACTGAGGCTGGGAGGAAAAGCGCCTTCCCTGTGCTCACACGTAGAAAGGGAGGTGACAGGACTGAGTGAAATTTTTTCAACTCAGCTTAGAGTTTTGACATCGTAGAGGCCCTTTGATGTTTGCTGTAAAACTTGGAGGAGGTTATGCAGGAGGGAGGGTGGTGGTGACAGGTGACCCACAGTGTCTCATTTGTCTGTCTGTCAGCCTGCCAGCATTTATGCAGCTCCGACTGCATGCCCGGTGTCCGGCCAGCTGCTGGGGTGATACAGAGGCATGGTCCTCAGGTCCTGGTGATGGGACCCCCATTAACGGTCTCTCTGGCCAGCATTCTCCACACACCACCTCGCCTACGTCAACCTCTCTGCCCCCGTGCAGTTTCAGGCTGTCCCGCCTGTCCAGCTGGCGGGTCCACGCGGGGCTGGTCAGCCACAGCAACGTCAAGCCACACCAGGGGGTGATGGTGGAGAGGATCATCCCCCACCCTTTCTACAGCGCCCAGAACCATGACTACGACGTCGCCCTCCTGCGGCTCCAGACTCCGCTCGACTTCTCGGGTGAGGTGCTGGTTTGGAGGGAGCAGGCTGGGGGATGGGGCCAGGCAGAGCAGGGACTAGGAGGAAGAGAGTGGGCTGATGGCTAAGGTTCTCTAGGGCCGGAAATCTTCATGTTGGCATCACCTGGACCCAAAGTGGCACCAGCTCCTGTCTAGGCTCTGTTACAGATAAAGGCTCAGGCCCTTTTCTCACCCAGGCTGCAGGTGAGATTACCTGCAGGTCCCAGGCCCAGCGTCCCAGATGCCTCATCTACCAGCAGGCTACTCTGCCCTGTCCCCAAGCTGGTCCCAGGTCCCAGGCATTCTGCAACCTGTCACAGTTAATGAGATTGGTTTTTCCCAATTTCCTTTCCTTGGCTATTCCTAACAAACCTGACAGGTAGAAGAAGCAGGTATAGACAGGCTAGGACACTGAAGTTTAGACACAGGAGTGACTCTGCCCAGGGTCATTGGCAGACAGTTCCTGAGCCTGGTGTCCTGACTTGGAGGCCGGGACCCCTTTCCCTGAAAGGGTGAGCCCAGGCTTCAGCCATCCCTGTAACAGCCTTCCCTGACCAGCACACACATGTGAGCAGGGCATTCCCTTACAAACACACTCACAGAAACATGCACGCACACTGCACATTCATCTACACACACTCATACATGCTCACACAGACACACACCTGGTCTCGTGCACATACATACTCATGTACACACGTGCATATCCATGTACACTCACAGACACTTGTACACTCACATATACGCGGCCCTTCTCCCTCCCGTTGTCACCTGTAGACTTGGCTTCCCCAAATCCCATCATTTACTCTTTACATTTTGCAGATTTCACCATATATGAATGTAAAGTTGTTCAATAGTTAGTATTTCTAAATGGACATAAATAAGTATATTTAAAAGGAAACATCACCTACCTGGAGAACCTACATCCTGTTTAGTAAATAGATGGTAACCATGAAAATACACAGCACGGAAAGAAGTCAGTGTTTAATCCCGAGTAGCTAGAGTCCTCTGTGGAAGGGGCCTCTGGCTGCATCTGTGTCGTGGAAGGTGGACGGGCACTGTGAGAGGGACAGACTCCATTCTGTGGCTTTTTCCTCGTCGAGGCCCTGGACGAGGAAAAGGAGATAACTTTCTCCCCACACGAATCACTGTTTATTTAATGGCATGCCTATGTCCTGCCTGAAGTCGTGTTAGGCACCACCCACAGGATGTGTGACTCTTTTTGGAAAACTGCCCCATGAGCGATCAGGCCCCTTGGAGAAAAGCCAAAGTGGGTCCTTGTTGGAAGCTGGGTGCCAGAGGGATTTCCATTTTCCCCCTGCGAGCCCAGGTGTGGAATGGGCAGCAGGTACACTGCCCACCCCTAGAGGGCGCCATGCACGTGGGATTGTAGTTTGGACATGGCTTCTGACTGGTGGCCCCAGGTGGGACATGAGACCTTGCTGATGGAGAAAGCAGGACCTTTGAGGAGGGCTGTGAGGAGGACCGGGCAGGCCTGGGTCCTCTCTGACTGAGGAGAGGGCGCCTGAGCGGGAAACACCTGCCTCTCCACAGACACCGTGGGTGCTGTGTGCCTGCCGAGTGAGGAGCTGCGCTTCCCCAGGGGCTCGCAGTGCTGGGTGTCTGGCTGGGGCCACACCGACCCCAGCCACAGTGAGTCGGCTCCTGGGGCCCCGGTGCAAAGGGGCGTGGGGGAGTGGGACGGGGGAGTGGGTCGGCACTCTCCCCGTGGTGAGACACCTCCACCTCCCCAGCTACATGGCAGTGCCAGTCTGCTATGTCCTGGCTCCACTCTTGGCTGGGCCTGGGGCTCCATCTCCCCTGCCTGGCGAAAAACCACGGAAACTTTTCCCTAAACCCAGGCGGGCCCTTTCACTGCCCTGCCCTCGTCCCAGGGAGTCCATGGCCTAGGCAGGGGTGTAAGTGTGTGTCTTCCTCCTCCCACTCCCGCCCCGCTCCCACCCTGGGTTTCCCTCTTGGGGTGTTTGTGATTCTGGTACTTTTCCCTACCTCCCTCTTGCTGCCCTGCCTTCCTGGGCTTTGCCCCCACTCCCTGATGTCCTCTGTGTCTCTCCCATCTCGGCGTCTCTCACAGCCCACAGCTCGGACATGCTGCAGGACACAGTGGTGCCCCTGCTCAGCACCCAGCTCTGCAACAGCTCCTGCGTGTACGCCGGGGCCCTCACCCCGCGCATGCTCTGTGCTGGCTACCTGGACGGGAGGGCCGACGCCTGCCAGGTGCGGCCTGTGGGGCGGAGGGTGGGGAGGAGCTGTAGCTTGGCTCCCTGGTCTGGCATTTAGTGGCTGGCATGAGACAACCTCCCTAGGAGCAGGGTCAGCTAGGCGAGTCTGAAGCTGCGTCAAGGGTTTCTGGAAGGGGGCAGCCGGCAGGTGTCCCTGCGGGAAGGAGGAGGGGCCTCGGAAGGAGTGTCCTTCCAGTGGAGGTCCGCTGCTTCCCCACCACGAAGGACTAACTGGCTGTCTCTCTGTGTCTCCATGCCTGGATCCCTCAGGGGGATAGCGGGGGCCCCTTGGTGTGCCCAGATGGGGACACATGGCACCTGGTGGGGGTGGTCAGCTGGGGTCGTGGCTGCGCGGAGCCCAACCACCCAGGCGTCTATGCCAACGTAGCTGAATTCCTGGACTGGATCTACGACACTGCTCAGGTGAGTGCCTGGTGCCCTGGAGTGGGATGGGGGGCCTCTAAACAACCTGCTCCTCAGACACTGTGAACCTTGTCCCTGAGGCCTGGGCCCTACAGGGTTGGGGAGGGTGCCAGGAATGTTCCCCAGAGTGGGAGAAGAGGGAAGTAGTGCTTACAAACCCCGGTTCCACTGGTTTTTTCTTCTTCTTCTTCTTTTTTTTGTTTTGTTTTGTTTTTTTTTTTTCTGTAAGTTCTGTGTGCTCGCCAGTGAGACAAAGACAGAGAGACAGAAAGCAAGAAATTACCTCCCGCCCCATGGGTGACAGCCATGTTGCAATCCCTTCTCCACCATTTTCCTCTCAGGATATTGGGCACACACATGCACACACACACACACACACACACACACACGTGCCCAGTGTGTTTTAAGCTGCCTGGTACAGGACTTGAACTGCAGTTGGTCATGTGGGAGTCCAGACCACATAACCATTATGCCACGTGCTAGTCCCTCCGCTGGATTTCTGGCATTGTAAACACTTGCTGATAGCCATGATCTGCTGTCTCCTATGAACCTGGGTGAGTTCGGAGCCTTGGTGGCCCTGGGTGTCCTGGTGATAGCCACCATGACTACACGATATGCTATCGTGGTGATTAAAGCAGACAGGCAGCAGGTCCAGCACAGGGCCAGGTTGGGAGGGAATGACCCAGTGTTACCTATGTGTGTTTATCTGTCCTACTGTCATCCTTGGTCTCTGGGGACAGTTACCAGTGGCCGTGTCCCACTGTGGAGAGAGCTCAGCGTTTATCCTGTAGTTTCTGCATCGAATTACACCTTCTGTGACTCTGGGCAAGCCACTCTACTTCATCTGTTCAGTAGGGTGGGGTGCCTAGCTTAGGACAGGATAATGAAAAGAAGCTTCCTCCGAGGATGGGCGCCAGGGCAGGACTTAGATAATAAACCTCAGTGAAGTCTGAATGAGGGGTCATATGCATCTATCTTCCCATTCAAATCTTACCAAAAGCTGTTAGAGTTGGGACCAGTAGGTGGCATGGTGATTAAAGCCCTGGACTCTCCCGTGGCCCACAGTGGTGTAAGTCCCAGACTGGGTGACTTGAATATCACTCCCGGCACTTGTGCATATGTACTCAAAATCCTGAGAGGATGGAGGAGAAGGGATTGCAGCTTGGCCATCCCTTCTTGGTGGGGGGTGGGGGGAGGATGACTTTTCACTTTCCTTCTCACTGTCTCTCTCTCTTTGGCGAATGTACGTGCCCCGTAGCAAGCATCTAACCCTCCCCCACCCCAATAAAAAACAAAACCCTAGAGAAGCAGATAGTTTTAGCCTCTTTTAATAGAGGTGGAAATCAGGGTTCTGAATAGTTATTCACTAAGATAGGAGATACTGGCTAGGCGCCTTTCTCTGCTCCAGGACGTCCTTCCCCAAGTCCCAGTGTTCCCCTGGGCTCATTGCACATGAAGCTTGACTCCTGGGGTGTCCGGCAGGTCCACTAGATGGAGCAGGGACAGCAGCCCTTGCTGCAGAAGGCATGGAGCTCCGACTGCTGGGCGAGAGACACGGTGACCACCCACAGGCCAGCTTCCAGGCACAGGGCTTCCTCCCTCAGGCCCTGAGTTCCGGGTCCCTTTTTCAGACCAGGAGGCTCAAAGACAGGAGAAGGGTGGGTTGGGAAAGGTTGGGGAGCAGGAGGGAGGCTGGAACTGAAGACAGAGGCAGCTGGAAGCAGTGGGGAGCCTGTCCTGCTTGCTCCCCTCCCTGGCTTTGTGCATCTTTAGGGAGGACGCCAGGGGCGCCCCATGCCCTGCCTTCTCCTGTGCCCTTGGGTGGGCTAGGGACCATCGAAGGGGAGCCATGGCTCTGAAGTTCCTGGACAGATGGGTCAAGGCAGGACCATCCCAGAATAAGCTCATGGGAGCCAGGATCTTCCCCAGACCCCATTTGTTACCCCCACTTTCTGTGATCACCTGGCTCTGGATGGTCCTGCATGCAGCAGGGACATTGTAAAGCTAGGAGCTTGGAGCTGGAGTATGGTGTTGGTCTTAAAATAGTTCTGTGAACTGGTCTAAAGACTTCTGTTATTAAAATGAAGCAGCACATGTTCTTGTTCAGTTTCTCTTTTTCACACACATTATGAGATAGAATTATAATCTTCCTCCCATACTTGCTTTCCTCCCTTTCTTTCTTTCTTTCTCTCTTTCTCTCTCTCTCTCTCTTTCTTTCTTTCTGTTTAAGTTTACTTTCCATTGATTTCTTGTAAAAGAGAGACAGGAGAGAGGGACCCTTGATGGGATTTCCAAATGCTGTGATACTCCCTGCAGCTCTGAACCAGCCAGGATCACAGGAACACCCTGCTGTGCCCAGCATGTTCAGGTCAGCCCAGGATCCAAACCCAGGCCTCCCACGTGGCTCCAGTATCACACGTGGCTCGCTATCCATGCTTCCTACAGCTTTGGTGCTGACTCCTGTTCATCTACTCTAGAATTTGGGGTTGTGCTTGTTTATTTAGTTCTTTAAATCTGCTTAATCTACCGAGGTTCAAGTATGAGTCTGAGAAACACTTAAAGTAATGCCCCGTAGGGAAGGTCTGGCCTCCCTGCAAGGTCCGTGTCTCCTTCTTAGCTGTTGTTTCAGAACTGAGCCTTTTGGCTTGAGGAGCTCTCTTTCTGCATTTATGCCCAGTTAGCATTTTCCTGGTTAAGTCTCTTCCCTGTTTTCTCTTCTCTAGCAATTAAAATGCAATTGGAATCTTTTTTCCAAAACCTGCAATGATTTTTTTATGGTGCTTACCCGAGGAAAGGCAATTAGCGTTTAGCAATAGTACACTTTTGCGAGTTTATCAGCATATTTGCTTTTCTAAGGGGTTGTAGTAATACCTATTCATTCCTAGAGGGTCTGCTCCCTTTACACAGGGTGCACCACAGAATAAGGATCTCAATTTGGGACCAGCAGTTAGCGTAATGGCTATGTCACTGGACTCCCACGTATTCGACCGCGGTTCAAGTCCCGGACCCAGTGGCTTAAACTCATGCTGGGTGCATGTGCGTGCGTGCCCAAGATCCTGAGAGGAGAATGGAGGAGAAGGGATTGCGGCATGACCATCCCCCCTGGGGGGTGATTTCTCACTTTCTGTCTCTCTCTGTCTGGCGAGCGCACGCGCACTATAGCAAAAACCTCTCCAAAAAAAAAAAAAAAAGAAGAAGGATCTCCATTTATTGTTGGTTTCTTACCTGGAGAAGAGGTTTCTGGGACTGAGCTGTTGAATTGCAGAAGTGACGTGGGAGAGGCTCTGCTAAATGGCACGATGGCTGGGTTCATGTCCCCAGAGCCTCCACCCTGAGAGCAGCATTTACTCTTTGGTTCCCTCAGTGTTCACCTCAGGAGGCAGCCATGGGGCAGCGGGTGCCCTGAGCAGGGGGAAGGGAACAGCAAACCATCAACAATGGTCTTTTTTTGTGTTTCTGATAGTACCATAGCAATTGCTATTTTAAAAGCAATCATTTTTATTTAGTTTTAGTCATCATCATTATTTTTAAAAGAATTATTTTTATTTAACTTTTTTCTTTCTTTCTTTATTCATTTATTTTTAAAATTAGACCAGAGGATAGAGTGAGAGAGAGAGAGAAGGAAAGTGAGAAAGCAAGCTGCCAGGTCTGGGACTCAAACCACAGTCAGCCACGTGGGAGTCCAGCACCCTTAACCACCATGCCACCTGCCAGCCTCATCATTATTATTATTTTTTAAAAATTTGACCAGAGAGGGACATGGAAAGTAGGAAATTAAGCCACCAGGTCCAAGACTTGAACCATGGTTGGCCATGTGGGAGTGCAGCACCTGCCGGCCCCAGCAATTATTATTTCAATGGAAGTTTTTTGTTTTATTTTTTTTAATGCTAGCCATCATGACCTGTTAAAAATCAGTCACATTTGAATAGTACTTTACAGTTTTACAAACCTGTTCATGTATCAGTTCTCACAACATCTATGTCATCAAGATATTTTTATTATTCTTCCACTTTTTTTAAAAGAAGGCGGAGAGATTAAATGACTTCCTCAACCTCCCCCGTATTAAGCACCAGAGCCAGGACATGAACCAGAGGCCTTTTTACTACAAATCCATGCCATTAACTTGCACACAGGTAAATCAGATGGCCCAACATTGCACAGAGTGAGGAACGAGAAGGTAGGTGATCAGCTCACCTGGCCTAGTCGCCTGCCTGCAGTAATGCATGGCTTTGCATCTTTTCTAAGGTGAGATGACTGAACCTTGATGCTAAGAGACCCCTCTCAGGCAACATCCCTAGAGATTGCCAGTTCTCCCTGAGATTCATGATCAGACTTAAATCTTACAAACGAATGTCCTCCATAGGAGAAATACAGAGTACTTCTCTAACTCTAGTTAGGGAATTTGTTGATAGCTATTCCCTGCTCACCTGCAGTATCTCCCAGGATCCTTTGCGAGGCTGGCAGTCCGCTCTGCAGACTCGGGAGCTCTCACTTTGCGTCCTTAGCATCTGTCGGTCTAACTCTTTGGAAAATGAAGACGAGTGAGTGGGCCGGGCCAGCTCTGTCCCCTGGGCCAGCTGCTGGGATGCAGGGCCTGGGGGTGGAGGCAGAGAAGGGTGGAACGACGGGTCCAGAGGGGTTTTAATGAGGATCTGCTGGGCGCCCTGCTGTGGCAAGCTCTGCAGGGAATCTGGTGACAGAGAAGTTAACTGTCTTATTGGAGCAAGGAGACGTATTTGCAATCAATTATTAGTGGCCAGCGAGGCAGTCAGCTGTGTGGAGAGGTAGTAATTGCTGAGGGAGCTCCAAGGTCCTATTGTGGACTACGTCAGGGCATCTCTGTGTGCAGACAACCTGTGCTCCCTCCCCACAGAGTGAGCATCCCACCTGTCTGGGCAGACATCCTGAGACCTCCCAAGAAGGTTGCTCCTGGCAGCCATGCCCACGGTGGAGCCCTTCTCTCTTCTATCCCTTCTCCAGCCTTCAAAGACGCTGGTGGGTGGGGCGCTCTCTTCACGACACCTTCTGTGGAGTCCTGCTTTTCCTAGAAGGGTTCCGGGAACAAGGGGACAGCCTACCATGCTTTGGGAACATTTCTTAAGCCCTATCCTGAATTTTCTTGGTGGAGGTGCTAGGCTACCCTACATTTGACAAAACCGGAAATGCTATGGATGCTAAAAGTCGGTGCAGTGGGTGTTCAGAGTTCCCCCTTGTTTCTCCCCTCCTCTCGCTCAGCCATGCACTCACAGTCCTCCTGCTGCTCCGTGGCTGCTCATGAAAGATTCCACATCACCTGCCCTCCCCTGGCATCCTGGGTCTGATCCCTCTCTAGTTCCCTGAGACATGCCGAAGTAAACTCAGTGTGCCCACTCTCAGGACTCTGCTTCCTGAGAAGTGACTGGAGTCTAACGCTGTCACTGGCTTTCATTTTGTTATTTAAAAAATTGCATTCAGTCACTGTATATCTTTATAGCTTGCAAAATGAATTTCCCCAGCATGAATTCACTGTGTATTAGTCTGGTTAAAGATATTCTCATACATGTTATCATCAACAGATAATGTTCCATTTTTCTCAAATATTTTACTTCTTTCTTTGTCCCCTTATTCCCTTCCTCTCACCCTCCCTCATTTCCCACCCTCCTCCCCCACTGCCTCTAGTATCACAATTGTTCTCCATGCCTTTGTATCTTCCAGTCTTCCAGTTTCTGCCATGGTGCAGTCATTTGGTATATAAATGGGGGCATACAATGTTACTGGCTTTTCAAACTGTGTCTTAAATCCCTCCCCCGAGGAAGCAATAAGGAAGTAGATGAGGAGTGTCCTTAACTCTTGAGGGGCCGGCCTGATTTTTCTCACACATTCCAAGTCTGGGAAAGGGAAAGGGAAAGGCGGGAAGGCAGGCTCCTGCCTTGGACTTCCCCAGGGTCCCCAGAGCACTCTGGAGGGTATGTGGAGGATTTATGCCTGGAGTTGGTGCTGGAGAGGATCAAGCTGGGAATCCAACAGAGTGGAGAGCAGTCCTGGCTGTGGAAGCACCCAGCTCCCACTGGCGTGCCCCTCCCCAAATGGCACACGGGCTCCAGGCAGGCACGGATTTGCACAGGACTGGGTTTCTGAACTTTGCAAGGAACCTCTGGCTGTGGCATCTGATAGCAGGAGACAATGACCCAGCTGCAGAGTCTCATCTGGGTCTCTAACCACGTGGGAAGGTGCTGCCCTGAGTCAGTGACTCAGCTTCCCTGGATTTTGGTCTCTCACTTGGCAAATGAGTGGTCTGGACAAAGTGGTCTCTACGGGATCTGCCTTGTCAGACTGGCTTTAACTCAACCTCCTTTGCCTCTTGAGACATACAACCCACAACTCCAGTTTGGACACAACTTTGAGAAGAGCCTGTTTCCTGGGATGGATCTAAAGAAGGCTCCTCGCTTGTGGCCTCCTGCACTGCTAGGCTGCTCTCCATGGGCCTGCTACTCAGTGAGGAGTAGAAGGAC